GCACAGAAATCTCTTGCATTCCTGTACACTAACAACAAAAGATCAGAAAGAGAAATTAAGGAAACAATCCCATTCACCATTGCAACAAAAAGAATAAAATACCTAGGAATAAACCTACCTAGGGAGACAAAAGACCCGTATGAAGAAAACTATAATACACTGATAAAAGAAATTAAAGATGATACAAACAGATGGAGAGATATACCATGCTCTTGGATTGGAAGAATCAATATTATGAAAATAACTATAACTACCCAAAGCAATCTACAGATTCAATGCAATCCCTATCGAATTACCAATGGTATCCTTTATGGAACTAGAAAAAAAATCTTAAACTTTTTATGGAGACACAAAAGACCCCAAATAGCCAAAGCAGTCTTGAGGGAAAAAAATGGAGCTGGATGAATCAGACTCCCTGTCTTCAGACTATACTACAAAGCTACAGTAATCAAGACAATATGGCACTGGCACAGAAACACAGATCAATGGAACAAGTTAGAAAGCCCAGAGGTGAACTCATGCACCTATGGTCAACTAATCTATGACAAAGGAGGCAAGGATATAAAATGGAGAAAAGACAGTCTCTTCAATAAGTGGTGCTGGGAAAACTGGACAGCTACATGTAAAAGAATGAAATTAGAACACTCCCTAACACCATACACAAAAATAAACTCAAAATGGATTAGAGGCCTAAATGTAAGACCGGACACTATAAACCTCTTAGAGGAAAACATCGGAAGAACACTCTTTGACATAAATCATAGCAAAATCTTTTTTGATCCACCTCCTAGAGTAAGGGAAATAAAAACAAAAATAAACAAATGTGACCTAATGAAACTTCAAAGCTTTTGCACAGCAAAGGAAACCATAAACAAGACGAAAAGACAACCCTCAGAATGGGAGAAAATATTTGCAAACGAATCAACAGACAAAGGATTAATCTCCAAAATATATAAACAGCTCATGCAGCTCAATATTAAAAAAACAAACAACCTAATCCAAAAATGGGCAGAAGACTCAAATAGACATTTCTCCAAAGAAGACATACAAATGGCCATGAAGCACATGAAAAGCTGCTCAACACCACTAATTATTAGAGAAATGCAAATCAAAACTACAATGTGGTATCACCTCACACAAATTAGAATGGGCTTCATCAGAAAATCTACAAACAACAAATGCTGGCGAGGGTGTGGAGAACAGTATGGAGGTTCCATAAAAAACTAAAAATAGAATTACTGTATGATGCAGCAATCCCACTACTGGGCATATACCCAGAGAAAACCACAATTCAAAAAGACACACGCACCCCAATATTCATTGCAGCCCTATTTACAATAGCCAGGTCATGGAAGTAACGTAAATGCCCATCGACAGACGAATGCATAAAGAATTAGTGGTACATATATACAATGGAATATTACTCAGCCCTAAAATGGAACGAAATTGGGTCATTTGGTGAAATGTGGATGGGTCTAGAGACTGTCATACAGAGTGAAGTCAGAAATAGAAAAACAAATATCGTATATTAACACATATATGTGGAACCTAGAAAAATGGTACAGATAAACCAGTTTTTAGGGAAGAAATTGAGACACAGATGTAGATAGCAAATGTATGGACACCAAGCATGGGGGGTGGGGGTGGGATGAATTGGGCGATTGGGATTGACATGTATACACTGATGTATATAAAGTTGATGACCAGTAAGAACGTGCTGCATATAAAAAAAAATGTGATCAACTGTGTTCTATTGGAAAGAAGCAAAAATAGACCATATTTAATGTCTAGAAAAAAGATATATATATGTGATCTTTGAAAAAAAGAAATCAACAGAAATTAAAAATTCACCTTTGACCTTACTCAAACCTAGATCCCTCTCCTGAGTTAACTACTGGTTATTATGTAGCTTTTAAAGACCTTTTCTAATGCATTCATATGCTTCTGAATATTTGAAATATTAAACGTTATTTTGTTTTATTGAGGTAGGTCTTTTCATAGGTATGTATACTATATGTATTTTTGGTAATTGTTGAACACAGTTTTACTCTGTCTCAGATTGTATTTTAATCAATGCAAAACGTTGAAATATTATAAGGAACAATGCTTGGAATACCATATACTTTTCTTTGATTTTTTTTAATTGAACTTTTTACATGTAAAAGTGATTCCCAAAGTCACTTAAAAATGTTAGTGCCAGTTTGTACCAGCTTTCTAGCGGACAACTGGGTAATTGCAAGCACTGATGTCCAGACTCTGTAATTCTCAAAATCCTGGTTGTTTTGGGAATGTTTGGACTTAATATATTAAGTTGACGACAAGATAAACTGTTATTCACTGCATATTATTATACAGACACATTACTGACTTTATTACTCTATTATTAATAGTAGAATTGGCATTTTTACAATAAATATTATAGGGATTCATGTTAAGTAATAAGAATTTTCTTCTGGAATCAAGATTTTTGAAGCAAATTATGATGTTATAGAGAGAAGTTATGTAAATCATTATATCCTATCTTAGAATACTGAGGTGCTGAAAGGTGACTGTAAATAGTGTCGTAAATAAAACTGTTCACACACAAAAAAAAGTATATTAGTTGGGACACTTCAAATTTCAAATGACAGAATTCCAAATCAAAATAATTTAAGGAAAGCAAAAGGAGTTGGGAGATTTATACTGTTTGCTAGGAAGAACAGGAGTAAGTCCAGATACTAGATTAGGTCTCCCTCTTTCTCCTTCCTTTGTCCTCAGCCTTAATGTGTCCCCAGATAAGGAAAGCAGAGAAAGAAAAAAAGAAGTGGGGGGGAAACTGGGAAGAGAACAGTTCAATTAATATATTTAATTTGGTTAACGTTGATTAATATACTTAATAGAAAAAATGCTGTTTTAAAAACAGAAGTCCAGGACTAAAATTATATTTTAATTGGCAAATCCAGAAAGAAGTTATTTCTAAGGATAATCTGGAATCTGATAATAAAGATGTAGAGTAGTTCAGCAAATCAGTGACACTAAGTACTTCAGGAACTAGTTTCTTGAAAGCTAAATGTGGCAGACATTGTCTTTGCTTATTAACTATACTTTCTCCTGACAAGGTGAGGTTCATTCGGCATTTGTCTGTTTAAATTTTTTTAATATTTTTTTCCTTTTGAGGCTATAATCATTCTGTAGAGCTTTGACTAATTGGTTTATAAGGCAATCGACCATGGGCTAGATCAAAGTATTAAGAGTAAAGTGTATTAAAAATGTTGTTCATGTAAATAACATAAAAGAAAATGGTTTCATCTTATTTCTGAGATGAAACTTGAAATGAAATGCTAAATAGTTACCATCCATTCCATGGATAATTCAGGTTTTTAAAACCTTTCTTTCCACAACTGGATATCTTAAAGATGCAGCAGTTGGCTCAAATTAATTAACATTCCTTGCCTTATGTAGCAATTCAAAACTCAACATTATAGTAAATATTTAGATTTTAACAAAACCTTCATCTTCTTTAGAGTAGACATTTTCTTTTTTTACAAAAATATATTTATTTATTTATTTATTTGCCTGTGCCGGGTATTAGCTGCAGCACGCGGGATCTTCTTTGCCTCCTGCAGGATCTTTGGTGTGAAATGCAGGATTTTTCTTTCTTTTTTTTTTTAATTAACATCTTTATTGTAGTATAATTGCTTTACAATGGTGTGCTAGTTTCTGCTGTATAACAAAGTGAATCAGCTATACGTATACATATATCCCCATATCTCCTCTCTCTTGCGTCTCCCTCCCACCCTCCCTATCCCACCCCTCTAGGTGGTCACAAAGCACCAAGCTGATCTCCCTGTGCTATGCGGCTGCTTCCCACTAGCTATTTTACATTTGGTAGTGTATATATGTCCATGCCACTCTCTCACTTCGTCCCAGCTTACCCTTCCCCCTCCCTGTGTCCTCAAGTCCATTCTCTACATCTGTGTCTTTATTCCTGTCCTGCCCCTAGGTTCCACAGAACAATTTTTTTTTAATTCCATATATATGTGTTAGCACACGGTATTTTTCTCTTTCTGACTTCACTCTGTACAACAGACTCTAGGTCCATCCACCTCACTATAAATAACTCAATTTTGTTTCTTTTTATGGCTGAGTAATATTCCATTGTACATATGTGCCACATCTTCTTTATCCATTCATCTGTCGATGTACATTTAGGTTGCTTCCATGTCCTGGCTATTGTAAATAGAGGCACACATGATCTTTAGTTGCAGCATGTGGGATCTAGTTCCCTGACCAGAGATTGAACCTGGGCCCCCTGCATTGGAAGCACAGAGTCTTAGCCACTGGACTACAAGGGAAGTCCCTAGAGTAGCCATTTTCATATTGACTTCCCTGGAGTTTTTCTTTAATAAAAATGTCAATTGTAACAGGCTTCTTCTGATAGTGTCTGCTCTGTTCAATTAGATCCCAGTGAACATGACAAGAGGAGTTATAAAGTAAAATTAACCTTATATTCAGTTATTTCCAAAGATTTTAAGAACAGACCTCATAAACATCTCCAAAATCCTAATTCATAACTCAGGAAAACAAACTTGTAGATTTTGTTCCCAGTTCCATTTCCATATTCTACCTCAGGAATAGCATAAACTGAGGTGGCTCAGTGGCATCGCAGTTCCAACTCTACCACCTCTAGTCCACCTCACAAATATCCACCAATCTCTTTCCCTCCTAATTTTCCTGCAGTGAATTAACTATTCACATATTTGTACTATAATCAGGTCTGGTAAACAGCCTGATGGTGTGAGGAGATGGTCGATTTTAGAAAGCTAATGCTTTTCATTGTGTACAGTCTTTTACAGTGCTTTTAGTCACAATGGAATAAGAGAGAAAACCAACTGCAATCACCTAGGAAGCATACACCGGGAGACTGACTTGACATATCTTAGCAATTGATAAACTGAATTCAACAGCTCTTGGGTCTGGAATTATAAATATCATCTGAATAAGGATTTTTCCAATATGGAAGCATATTTTTCTGTAAGCCCTTGCCTTGCCCTTGTTCCCCTAGGTCCCCAGAGGTTTGATTCATTTCTAGACACCTGATTGCCACTGCTAAATGCATTTGGTTCTTATCTGCCCCCTGTTCAACGTCTTTGGTTACCTGGATGAAACTCCAAGATTCTAGCCTGTGCCTGTATTTCTACATTTTGACTTATTCTAATTTTTAACCGGATTTCAACCTAAAGATTTTCCTTGTATCTGTGTTTATCTACTTTCATTCAGTGCATTTGTGCTTCTGGCTTCTATTCCCAGACATATCCCTGCTCTGGTGGCCTCCTGACTAAAATATAACTAGTATTAAAATGTGTTTGCCTTTCTTGAGTACACAACAACTGATGGCAACAGGAAGAATATAGGGAAGAAATCATCCTTCAATTAAACGTTCTCTGTATAGAGTCTAGAATGATACAAACACAGCTAGACCATCAACAGTTGGTTATATAGAGGGGTTAACTATAAAAAACTATTCATTTTTTGACGAGCTAAGATATTTCCATTACTCTGCTTTTTGTAGCATGTACCTTTTTACTGTTTCACTAAATCAAAATTTTAATTTTTCTTAAACCATTTAAAATGAGACAGAATTTGTGAATTTCAGTGATTTGCACACCATTGTCAAATCAAGAATCAATATTCTCTGAAGAAAAAATTTAAATCTAGATAGTTTGAAATTATTTAATATCTTGTCATTATAAAACTGAGGTTTTCAGGGGTGGAGGGAGAAGAATATGTATAGTCAACTTTTTCTGAAGAGTACTGGGGGGTCAATTTATTGATGCCAGTAGCTAAAACATTTCTTTAAATTAGTGTGATTTCCTTTTCGGTAATTTGTACATTACATTATCCACTCACCCAAGTTTACCCATTACAGTACATGGATTATAGCTTCTGGATGTTATTACATGAAATATCTGCTTCAGTGACTACTTAAAATTCAGTGGAATAATAATCAAAAACAATTTCATCCTTCAACATTTTAACATTTCACTGCACTGACAAGAATATACAGCACTGGAAAAAATGAGAATATCATTTATACTTATGTTTTAATCCTATATCTTAATCTATTCTTTTATCTTAAATCAGTTGTTTCTTATAGTTTAAGCTATCTGAGTATGACTGCTTTGTTAGGCAGGATTTTTTCCAAGCTTCCTCTTTCAGTTGCTTTCCAAAGGTGCAAAAATAATCCTGTCACAACAGAGAAGAAGAGCTTATAAAGATACTTTAAAAACCTTATCACCAGGAAACAGTGCACAGTGTATTGTATAATATAGTGTCTTAAAATACATCTGCTTACCTCCTCATCGATGCTGCTACAATATTTACATAACACTGCTAACTAATTCTTCATTATATAGGTTATTTATCCTTTCTCTTAGAGACCGTCTTCCCAGCACATTTAGTATTATTGAATTGAGGCACTGTTTTTATTTCTACCTAGTGTTTAGCTGCAGTGTATCTCTTCTCAGGTCTGGGGCTGCCCTGGCGGGTCAGGATTCATGTTTACTGCTCCTTGGGGTAAGAAATGAAAGTGTTAGAAGAGATCTGCAGCAGGACAGAGTCTGGGCTAGCCATCAAGGCAAGTTGTTTATGTCTTCAGGATGGGTTATTTCAGCACCAAAAATAAAAAATAAAAAAGGAAAAAATAACATAAAGGAGATGTTTGGTTCAAAGGAATAGTTGTTCTGGGAGCAAAAAGTAAAAGTGGAAACTGATATTTTAGAAACTGCTTCAGCAGAAAGACATTTTAGTATAAGATATCTCAAAGGCTAGGGAAAATTATTTGAAGCATTAAATATTTTCAAGACTTCCTGTGTTGAATACATTTTTAAACCCTAGGCTAGGTGTTTTTGTTAACATTTCACATTGAAGTGTTCAAATCAGAAAAAAATCCCATTTCCGTGTGACCAAGGAGCACTCTAAGGCAAATAGCATGTAGTGCACTCTAAGGCAAATAGCAAGGTACACTTGTAGTGTACCTGCTTTCAACCTGAAGGTCAATCCTGATGGACATGGTCTTTGAGTTCCCTCTTTAACACTTCACTCTGTTAAGCGTGGTTTCCCATTCATCTTCTTGCACATGTCTACCATTATAGCACAGTGCCTCAGGCTGAGATCACCTAGCTTCCAACACAGTTGCTTGTCCCACTCCACAAATAAGTCACCTCATCAAGCAGCGACCAACAATGTCTTGGCTCATACCCACATCCTAATCTCTGGAGCTTAAATACACTGCTTCCCAAATGCATTCCTCTTCCAGCAGCTAGGGAAATGAAACATGGAAGTAACTTCAAGCTAGATTTTTCCATGTGATTGCTACCAATTCCCCAAGCAACCCCAAAGGTAGGTATTTACAGTTATAGAGTTGCTGAAGTGCCTTAGATTTGCTAAAAAGAAAAAAAAAATGCAAGTTAACCTTTTTTTTTTCTCAGCTGAAACAATAAACATCTAAAATTTTAGAGCTTCTATAAACCTGTAGATTTTACGTACTAAACCTGGCTGTGTATATATAAAGTGGCCATACACATTTTTTCTCACCAAATACAATAAAATCAGTATCATTGTGTCAAATAAATGCAGTAGTCTATGCAAAACTAAATTCATATTGTCATTTAATGAGAAAATTAGACCTCTTAATGTTAAATTGCTAAATATTAAAGTTATGTGATAATTAAGGCTTTGAATACATCTTATTAGAGGATAAAACCCTCCCTGTTTCTTATAAAAAATAAAAAATAAATATTTACTGACTAACTAGAAGAAACCTGACACTGAACTGTGTGCTTCTGCAAAGTTGCCTCTCAACGATGCTATGAGTTGGATTTTATCATCCCCTAGACTGAGGAGAAAAACAGCTTCATAGACAGCAAGTGACTTCCCAAGGTTACTCAACCCATAAATGAGCTCGGATTCAGTTCTCCTAACTCCAGCTCCACTGCTATTTCCACTGCTTGATGCTGCAACTCTTCATTTGAAAATTTAATCATCAAGAATACTACATCATTAATCTACAAACATATTTTCGTCTGCCCTGTAAAACTTGCTGAGTACAAAATGCTGGCCTCTGTTAAACTGCATAACCTTGAGCAGGGCTAGGGTAAGTTTTGATCTGTTGAAACAGATCTGATTAAAAACCTAAATCAAAATATAGGACTAAGAATTTGAAAAGCAAAAGTACATTTTCAAACTCACGGTAAGTTCTGTTTTCAGCAAGAATGTTTTTAGATGATTTAAAATGGGAATTTTTTCAAATTACAATAAAAATACTTGGTTGTACTTAGTAACTGTACATAAGCATATTTTAAACCACTTTGAGAGGATGAGCATGATTTAAAACTCTTTATACTAATTTCTGCGTGATGTAGAGGACTTAACAACAGATGCATTATGGAGATTTAATGAACTTCAGAAGGATAAAACTTACAACAGAGCACTTTCTTTAATGCTGAACTTTAACTCTCATACAACACTAGTTTAAGAGTACATTAATGAGCTTTTAAAAAATCTAAGTAGATTTAATGTGTTTGGAGTTGGATTTTTGTCTACCCATAGTGCAGAAGAGTAGGTTGTCTCATGAAATTCTGTTGAACTGTAGATAAGATTTCATTTTTATGATCCTGTAAAAAGCAGTACATATTATACTAAGTGTGTTTAGTAAGTGTTAAATAATAATTTTGACTTAGTTCCACAATCTACATGTAACACATTAATTTAACTTCTGGGCCAAAGAATGGTATGCCAAAAGTGCTACTTGACAATGGGACATAACTGAATGACTACTATTTTATTACAAATGAAATTAATGAGAGCTAATATTTCAGGGATGCAGCCATTTCATGTGCAGTGTATTCACCTGTGGAGCTTTAGATTCTTATGCTATTTAAGTCATAATATAAATAAAATATATTTTATCCTTTCTCAATGATCCCCAGTGGACATTTGTTGGCATTTTCTCTATGCTAAGCAACCTACCACTGTTTACAAAGGAAGATCAAGGCAGGATAAAGAAAGAGAGAAAGGGGAAAAAAAGGCAAACTACCGACAGTTTTTTTTTTTTTTAAACATTGGGTTAATCATTTTCGATGTCTATCAATTACTCTAATCAGCAGGTAAATTATTTAATCATCCCCCCCTCTTTATTTTTTCATTCTCATAACATGCTTTATCACTACCTCAGCCAATACAAGTTTCAGGCTTTCTGAACACATTGGTTTTCCACTATTATAAGTTTAAAAATCCTCTTCAGCATTTCTGTATGCTAGCAACTTGGTTCAGGTAGAGACTATACTCCCTGGATAATCCAATACAAATAGCTTATGTGTGTTTAAAGTGATTTATAAATCACAATAGTCTTACCAATACATTTTATACTCCAAGTCCAGAAAAATATTTGGAAAGTTTATATGACTTACATAAGTGCCATTCACTTTACCAGAGTCCTGATTCTAGAACTCTTATCTTCCAATGGGAAGAACGCTGGTAAAAGCATACATAGTGATATCTAGAGAAAAATTAATAAGTAGACTAACTCCTTGGGAACTGTGGGAAGACAAAAAGGAACAAATGTGGAAATGACTTGGAATTAAGAAACGTTCCCAAGGCTGGCTGGCAATTTCCAGGAAACAAATTCCTGAAGAGTTTAAAGGCTACCCTACTCTCATGGAACATTAGTGTCTAAACTTTCTTATCCTTGACTTCTTACCCATATAATGGAAATAGCAGATGTATGTCTAAATCCTCTTCATTGTGCCTCCATTTTTTCTCCCTCCAGACCTTCCTGAGCAACATGGAATTCTATGTAGTTTTTCGATTTCATTACTATCATATAAATATTGTCTCCACATCATCTGTAATTTAATAATTTCATTTCGTTGGGTAATGAACCATATCCAGTTCAATCTTAGAGCTATAATCAAAATCTGCATTATTAAAAAAATACATAAAATATGAAAAAATACAAAAACTTTCTGATCATTTTAATACGGCAAAAGAAATCTAAGGTTATTTCCATAGAGAATACAATTTTTTAATGAAGGAAAATTAGGATGAAGATAGACATTCAGAAATAAATTGAAATTATATATTTTGATGACAAAAATCTCTCTCTCTCTCTCTTATTTTTCCATAATAATCTAGAAGCATACAATTGATTATCATATTTCATAATTCATGGCCACAATAATCACTGGACTGTGAAAAGGACAAAAGGTAGCTGAATTCATCTACAAAAGAGAACATGCACAAAAGAGAGAAGAATAGAGCATAACAAATAACAAGTATTTAAGAGTGGCTAAAAAGTATAAGAATGATTTTTAAAAGGTCAATAATCAGAACGAAATGAGGCTTGTCAAAAATGCTAAAGATACAAACAATAGGGTTTTGAAGTTATGTTCAGAAAAAATGAACGTGTTCTTTCAAAGTAACATTTTTATAACACATGACAAAGAAAAAGCCATACCACTCAACTTTTATTTTATTTCCATCTTCTCTGTCAAGGATAGAAAAAATAATGTTGGTAAGAGGAAATTGAAGCCCAAGAAATGTGAGATTGTAAGAAAGCAATTCTTTTCCTAAATGACTTTACATCTTTGTCCCAAATAAATTATATCCCAAGTTATAAAAGGAACTTTCAAATAAAATTTCTATACCACTGAACTATTTCTTGAGGCATTGTGAATAATCAGAAAGATTAAACCAAAATACTAGATAGGGAAAAAAATTATAATTCCTTTTTAAATTAAAAGTCAAAGGATTCTATAATATATTGAAGAGTTTGAAATTAATTCCATAGAAAGTTTTAGAAATTATTATTAAAATATGGTTTGTGAACAACTGAAAACAAACGATCAGTAGGAATTAACATGGGTTCTCTAAGCATAAATAATGCATATCTTATTTCATTTCTTTATTGACAAATTTAGCCCATTTATGTACCAGGTGATTTCTAGACACATATTCTAATTTAGACAAATTATCCATTGGATACAATCTTGGATGATATATTCATGGACAAGAAAAAGAAATTATTCAATTCCACTATAATTTGCTAATGGCTTGAATGATGGCACTAAAAATATATTGTTCACAACAATCTGGAAGGACATTTTTAGTGGAACACGATTTTGTCCTAGGCTCTGTTCTCATCAAATGTATCTAAGAAAAATATTGCGTAAGATTTGACTGAGCAGAGAAAAGCAGTGGTAGCTGCAGGCCATGAGAATGTACCTCAAAGACCAACTACAGGGAGTATAACTGACCAAAGGCTCCAGCTTCTGTACTGAAATTCATCTGTGTTTGTGCTGAGTCCATTTCTCCCAAGGGCTGCTCCCAATCAACCAGAGTCTGGCAGGGATACTAAAGCAAGCCTGTTCCTAGAAGATGTGGGATTCCTCCGATAGGTGACTTCAGCTCAAGGGATCCCTGATGGCTTTGCTGTACCCTCCTTCTAATCCAGGATTAGATCGCCAATCAGATCTGAGGGAAAACCTACTCGGTTTGGCACCTAGGGCATACACGTGGATCACTGGACTTCATCTTGGCTGCAAGAAAAGTCAGGTTTGGAACTCTAGATTATGAGTTCGACAGTTTGATGCGATTCCAAGCTCTGTTCAATGGAAATAAAAGTAACATCGTAACTGTAACTTCCACAGAATTGAAGGGCATCAGTAAATCTAAATGGGAAAGACGAAAGTGAAGCAAATGAGGGAGAGTTCAGTATCTTTGAAACTGTGTCCATCTAAAAGTAGTTCATGTTTCTCCAAAGGACACAAATTTGTAAGTAAAACAGGGTCACAGAAACAAAGTAAAAATACAGGTACTGCTTTAGAGAAAAACACTTGCCTCCACACCTACACACACCACTGAATTAAAAAAACAAATCTTCCTTTCCTCTATCAGAAAATCTCAAGATTCCCTTCCCTTCCTCTCCTGTGCTGGGTGTAGTGGATGGCTCCATTTTTTGCAGGCTGCCCTTCTGATCTGTATTAGTGTGGCTTACTACCTAGGCTGTAGAGGTCTTTATCGTCTTGTTTTTTTAACCAACCTGGTGGAGTTTGACTTTCTGTTATGTGTGTCTTTAGGAAAGACCAAAAGTTGCTTTATTTTATCATTCACAGATATCCCTAGTGGGCATGACCTGCCAATTTTCCAAATATATATGGATAGCTGTGAATGCAGTTTAAGCTCTCAGGTTGGGAGCAAGAAAACATAGAGAGATACTGAAAGAAGAACTGCTCAGCAGGTATTTGAAAATACTAGATTGGAATTCAGGAGAAACTATGTGTACAGATAAAGACTTAAGAATCATCTGCTTTAAAGTACTAACTGGGGAATGAGAATAGATTTAATGTGGAAAGGAGTATAAACAGTACAATCAAAGGGCCAAGAATGAATCTTCTAAAATGCCAGTACAGCCTGGGTTTGGGGACCTATTTGAGTATCTATAAAGCTCAGCTCTTAGACCTTTCCATAGGTCTCTACTAGCTCCCCATGTTCTTCATATCCTACTTTCTTTGCAGACGCTCCCACAGACTCAGCCTTCTCCACTTGGTAGTTTCCACCACCATTCCAGCCCTTGGAATTCCGTTCACATCAGCTGTAGAATAGCACAATCTCACTAGCTTTCTTGACTTATTTTGAACATAAGAATATAGGCTCTTCACCTTTTCCCTTCAGGGTCTTCCTGGTTACCACTATAGTAAACCACAAACAAACACATAAGTACAAGTGTACACATGCATATATGCACACATGAGGGCTATCAAAA